TTCTATCTTTCTCTTCCTTCCTCTCTGAAATAAATAAAATATAGATATGTATTTTTAAATAAAAATTTAAAAATAAATCTACCCCATATTTTAAAAAATCAATCAATGAATAGATAAATAAGTGGAACAACAAATTGATGTTTTAAAAAATATAATATTGTGTTTTTATTGTTTGTCTTCTTTAAATTTTTTTATATATTTCTTTATTGATTTCAGAGAAGAAGGGAGCGGGAGAGAGAGATAGAAACATCAATGATGAGAGAGAATCATTGATCAGCTGCCTCCTGCAGGCCCCCAATTGGGGATCGAGCCTGCAACCCAGGCATATGCCCTTGGCTAGAATCGAAGCTTGGACCCTTCAGTCCGCAGGTTGACGCTCTATTCACTGAGCCAATCCGGCTAGGGCTATTGTTTGTCTTCTTTAAACCATTCTCCAACAAAGTAAGAAAATAAAGAAAATGTAAAAAAAAAAATTATAAAGCTAAATATATTCTTAATTTTTAAATTATGCTCTTCCTACAGCTTTTGGTATTAAATGTCCTTTATGAGATAAAAGTCAAAGGGGACATTAAAAAAATAACTATTGTCAACCACTCACCCTCCCATTATATCTTATTTTTTTAAATTCTATTTATCTATAAATTTCAGAAGTCTAAGACCCATTGATTTAGCGAACTATATACAGTTAACATTATTTCTGAGAAACTAACTTGAATAAAGGAAGTGAAGATCAAAAGGAAACCAGATTTGAAATATTTCTGAATTTCCCCAAATTCATCCACAAAACATCTCAAAGGCTTCAGATCTCAGGAATACATGTTAATGGACTTGTTAAAAACATTTCACATTTGACATTTGCATTACTAATTGCTCTCTTTCAATATTTTGATATTTCCTGCTTTTGAATGGGCCCTTAGTAACCTAGGTTAGTTCACTCAATCAACAAATAGTCAGACTCCCTAATTTATGCAAGGTACTCTATTAGGTGCCTGGGGACACAGTCTAGAGCAGCGGTTCTCAACCTATGGGTCACGACCCCTTTGGGGGTCGAACGACCCTTTCACAGGGGTCGCCTAAGACCATCGGAAAACACATATATAATTACATATTGTTTTTGTGATTAATCACTATGCTTTAATTATGTTCAATTTTTAACAATGAAATTGGGGGTCACCACAACATGAGGAACTGTATTAAAGGGTCATGGCATTAGGAAGGTTGAGAACCGCTGGTCTAGAGAGTTCTTTCTTACCTCATGTTAAAGATCAAATGTCACAAGCCACTGTAGACACGATCCCTCCCCCCAGGAAAGAAGAATAAAAGCATCTCTTGGGGCTGTGCTCTTCTACCAAGGCCTACATACCTCTCTGTATGTGGTTATTTGTCTTTCTCCCTCAACTCTTCCAAAGCAAACACTATCTTATCAGTGCTATCTTCCTAGCACAGTGCACATATAGCTGGAGATCAGTATAAATTCGTGGAATACATATATTTTACAGATGAGAAAAATAAAGGTCAGAAAAAGAATATGACATATCCAACATCATATAGCTAATAAATAAGTAGTACCCAGTCTTAGAAATAGTTCCACCATACCACATCATACATGCAGACAGGGTGAGAGAAAGATCTTAGATGTCTTCCTGGAACTTCAAACTCAACATGTCCAAAAGTCACTCCTTCTTGAAAAAAAGCAAACAAAAATCTGGTCCCCATTCAGTGTTCTCATTCTCTATACATGACATCCTTAGTGGCTCAAGAAAAAACTCAAGTTAACTTGACTCTCTTCTCCCTATCCTCACATCCAGTCAATTAATAATCTTATCAATTATAATCTTCAAACTTTGTGTCTCTCTCATCCCATCCCTTCTCTCCAAGCCCTCTGCCACCACCCTGGATCCAAGCCACCATCATTATTTACGTAGACAACAAAAATGACTTACTACTTGGTCACACATTCTGTTTGGCCAGTTCTCTCCAATCTCTTCTTCCCTTAACAGCCACAGTGATGTTTTTAATATCTTTCTACATATTACATTGAACCAACTACATATGTACTTGAACCTCCCATTACCATCCTAAAGTATTTGCACTCACTCAAGTCTCTTGAAATGTTACTTTCTACTGGAAACTTTCCCTGACTCCTCCACACAAGGGGAGAGCACCAGTTAGGCACTCCTGTTCCACCTTGCAATACACCCCCCTTGTCAGTAACATTCATCATACTTGCAATAACGTGTTTAATGATTGTCTCCCTATTAGAATATAAACTCCATGAGGGCAAGAGAAGCTTCTCTTTTCCCTGATGTATCCACAGACCTTAGAACACAGTAGCTGCTCAATTAATGTTTATTGTCAGAATGATAGGCTGGGCCCAGATTGTAGCAGGCCAAGTAAACCAAGGGGGGAGGATCATTATCCCTTTGTAAAGATATGAACTAAAATAGAAAGAACTGCATAGTTATTCAAGAGCACGGAAATAGCATTTCTCCTTCCTTAAACACTAAAAAAAAACGTGTTGGGAGAGCGAGCATTTTAGAAGAATAAGACTAATAAAGAGAAGGTGGATAGAGGGGTCTAGGATGACAGCTTCTGAATCTGCCTGTCATACTAGTCGCTTCTAGATAATTAGACATTGGACTTTCCATGCCTAGAGAAGCACTCATGTTAAACAAACAAATATAACTACCACCACACTCTTCTTCTTAAGAGGGGGAAATAAAATAACAAACTTTGTTTCTAAAATAATAAATTAGAAACCACAGGAGAGAAAGATGTCTTTGCTCAAGGTGTCTCCCCTGGATAATGCTCCTCAGCAATCAACAGAGAAGGGAGGGGGGAAAGGCAGACTTCCCACCACTTACTGGAACAGGGATAAGGGGCAGGGGGGGGGGGGGAGGATTAAATGAGGCAAAAGCCATTTGAAATCTATTTATTCCTTGGGAATCATGAGAACGTTCCAGGTAAAGCATTTTAAAACCTTGCTAACCCATTGGCAGTTCTTAATAAAGGTAGCAATACAGTTGGCATGAGCTCTACTGCAACATTTCATTGTCCACATGCTGCCACAGAAGCCACAAACCAGGCGAAGGGGTCAGGCTCGTTGTTGCTCATCCTTCCAAGCACCAACTGAAAGAAAGGGAAAGGACAAAGCCTCCTCAAAGAGAACTCCGTGGAATAAATATGCACACTGCCTCCATGTAGCCTGGAGTTTCTGGGTAGGGTAGAGAATGGGCGGGGAGGGTATTCAGAGACTGGAAAGAAACTTAAAGAAATAGATGTGATATACCGGTGATGAGAGGGAGATTCTGAAACACAGAGGAAAAATGAGAATTGCAAATGGAGACATGGGAAAAGAAACGGAAAGAACTTCGAGAGATGTTGAAGGGTCGGGAAAGGAAGGTACAGGGGAAACAAGTAAGGTGCCCCCAAAAAGCAGACAGTAAGCAATAGAGAGACATAGAGAGAGGCAAAGCCAGGCAGCCCATCTTCTCCCAAATCCAAAAGCTGGTCACTGCATTCCAATAAATCACTCTACTACAAAGCCCATACAATGGATTGTCCTTTGCATTCAGTAACAAGCAGCATTAAATGAAGCATCACCCAGCTGTAACTTTGGAGATCTAAGGATCAGAATTAAAAACGAACAAAATCAATTCAGCAGCAGAAGATAACCAGTAAAGACTTTCCCCCAATGCCTGACTTGACTATAAAAAGGTTTGGCATTTTAGAGTTAAGCGTAAAGTGCCTGGCATTTCTCCTTCTTTTGACATTCTAAGAGGGGGGTGTGGTTGACCCCAGGTCTATTCATTTCCAAGGGTGTAGATCTCTCAGCTAAGACTGGCCCCATCTGTTCTTGAGTCAGCCAGTTGTTTATGTCAAAGTAACATATTTATTGCACTAATCATCCTAATTACTTACAAGAAGAGAGCCAACATCATAAAAGACAGAATGCTTTCTGTCCTGTTAAATGTGTTGGTTCCTTTAAGAAGAAAACAAAACAAAACAAACAAACAAAAAATAACACTACTTTGCTCCTTGGTTTCCTTGGCCAGGATCACTCTTCAGTGGGTACCTTTCAGTAATGGCAAATGAAGGTTAACGGTGCTTCTAACTTTCCCTTCCCTAACGCGTTAAAATGAACCTAGGTTTCCTTAATGATCCCTTCTCCAAACCGTTATTCGTGCCTGGTGACTGTGCCTCAGGAAACAGCAGCTCATTATGGTACCGCTGCCAGTGGCAAGGAGCCTATTGCCATGTAATTTAAAACACACACAAGCACAAATCTGTCAGCTCCACTCCCAAACAATCCTGAAATCCTGCAGTCGGGAAAAGGACGCTGAACGAAACGGCTGCCTCCAGCAGCCGAAGAGAAGCTTCCCGAGACACGTGAAACATTTCTGACTGGCACGGAGTGCACCATTAAAGGACACTGTCACCTCAAATCCGCAGAAAAGGCGAGGCAAGCGACACAGACACACATGCAAAATAGAGCCCCACAAAACTTAGCCCACTGAGAAGCAGCACGCTCCGCTAAAAAGCGAAGAGCGTGTGCTCGCCCAAGCGACACAGAAATGTTCTAAAGTAGTGCGAGCACATTAAATCACTGTCACCATTTCTCCCCACGCATCGCCCCTTCCCACTCAACCTCAGCACGCGGGCCGTTGGTGACAGGACTGCAGTGGTCCCCCACCTCAGCCTTCTGATTCTCCAAGAGCACTTCCCAACATCCTCCCCAGCCCAGCCCCCTCTCTCGGCTTCAGGAAGGTTGAGGGGAGTTGCGACTGGAGAATTGGCAGGCATCGGTCCTCCCGCGGGGGAAGGTTGCCGGAGTTGTTCTGCACAGTGACCCAAATTGCACAGAGCTTTTCGCTTAGCAGCGCTGGCGAGCACCTCCCCAATCCTTCCCCCGAACCCCCATCTTCCCAAAAGAAAAGCCTTGAGAATTAAGCGGGAGGAATAACTTGGTAGAACCATTTGAATAAATCACTTCAACTCACCTGGTTTGGGATATTTCTCCCCACCCCAGGCATAAACAGAAATGATATGCGAACGAGTCACGCACGCAACGTAAGGTGGTGCGAAGTCTTTAGTCCAAGGGCTGGAGTCAGTCCCTGCCCTGATGCCGCTGCTACTCTTAGCTCAGCTGGAGCGAGCGGCAATCACAAGCCCAGCAGCAGCAGGGGGGTGGATAGACCGTAGCACAATGAATGCAGTGGGGTTTTTGCAATGACATCATCCCTCTGTCCAAAAGGCCCCAATAGCCATGCTCAAGAGCGCTGCATTCTGGGAATTGTAGTCTTCTTCAAGCCTGTTCGGAATCTTGAGGCTGCTGTCGGAACTACAATGCCCAGAATGCGCCGAGGTCGGACGCACCCAGAGCGAACTCAGGCAGCGAACGAAGCTCGGCCGCCATATTGGGGGAGCCCGGCGATTCTGCGGAGCCGGCAGAGGCTTTAGGAAGCGCGGGAGGCGAGTGGTGGAGCACTGGGGACGGTGAGGTGGAGGACAAGCCCGTAGGAGATCGGGGGCCGGAGTCTGGGAACCGGGAGGTGGAGGTATCATCTGGAGACAGATGTAGGGCGGGCCTGGCTGGAGGCGGCTTCCAGAGGTCGAATGGGCCTCGTCCTCACGGCTCTGCGGGGCTTGCCTAGGCCCCTTACGCCTCTTGCTCCATTTTCTAAGGAAGATACTGAGGGAGTCAGTTCACGTCTGGGCTCGGAGCATCATTTAGACCCTCTGACAGGACCGTCGGGGTGGTCGATATCTTTGTTGTGGTGCGGGGGCCCCGGGCGGCGACCTTCTCGCCTGTGGTCGGAGGAGATTCCACCCACAGAGTTGGGCTGTCCCCTCCAAACGTATGTTTAACTTAATTTATTTTCCTTACTCCTTCCAAAGGTTTCGGACCCTCGTTGGTTTTTCATGCAGAGTGATTTGCAAAAGGGTCTAAGGAAATCGATGCTGGAAGGTAGACAAGCTGCAGGGGGTCGGACGGTGCTTTGGGGCGGACCGCGCTCTGGGCCTGCGGTTGAGGAAGGATAAGGAGCGGCCTAAAGGATGAGCAAATCGGGTTAAAATGGCATCCTCACACCTTGCCGCCGAAGCGGGGAGGGGTGGAAGGGGGTATTGTGACGGCGGGCGATCGGTTCCCGAGTAGCACGGGTTCTTGGGTAAAACCCAGAGATGTAGGGGGCCCAAATCCTGCGGAGATGGGATGCTCCTTAGCACGGATCGCCGACTTCCTTAAGTGTGTGGCACTCCCTAATTACTACTGCTTAACAACTGATTTTTTATTTTTATTTTTATTTTATTTTATTGATTTTTTACAGAGAGGAAGGGAGAGGGATAGAGAGTTAGAAACATCGATGAGAGAGAAACATGATCAGCTGCCTCCTGCACACCCCCTACTGGGGATGTGCCCAGGTACATGCCCTTGACCGCAATCGAACCTGGGACCCTTCAGTCCGCAGGCCGACGCTCTATCCACTGAGCCAAACCGGTTTGGCTACAACTGATTTTTTAAACGAAGTAACTGAAATCAAAAACCACTGGTCCTTGAAGTGATTTTGTCTAGTGTCTCGAAATGACCTGTATGTCAATTGTGTTACTAAAGCAATGCTGTGTGTTTATTTTTCAGAGTCTGTCTGCACTGTGGAAAGATGGGCGCCTTCTCTTCCTCCTGAGGGTGTCTGAAGGGTTAAAAATGCTGATATACTTTATGCTGTTTGTCTTCCTCCGTTTTGCACCTCATTCAGAAAACAAAAGTAACTAGTTATTTTGGGTCAGGAAGGTAGGCACTTCACACTACTAGAAGTTAATAAAAACTGTAGCTGATAAACAAATTCTCTTATCAAAGAAAGGCTCGGCACAATGATTCCAGACGATGAAAGCATGGTAGAAATAGTCTCTTCAATGTAAGCAGTTTTATGAGGAATGATCTTGTATGTCACGTTTCCCGGGAACAAGTCACTAGATGAATGGCTTTGTTTTATTTTTAAACAGAGATAATACGTATTGGTCTCATTTATCTATGAATATAACAATGGGAAGGGCTCATGCAAATAACTGTTACTCAAAAATACCTTTGAAGTTAACGGTGGTAAGTATAAGAAAAGGAACAAAGTGTCTACTATTTTATTTCTGACCTTCAGTATAACTATAGAAGTGTTTCGAGCTTAATAGATATAAAGTAGACTAGACGGGTTTACATTTAGGCTTAGTTTCAAACTTAAATTATTTTTAGGGGTGGGTTATACAAAGTGTTTTTGTGTCTTATACAAAATTATTGTGACTTGCTCATTTATATTTCTTTAAGCAATAACCTCCTCAATTTGAGTTACTATGGAAGACAAATTTGTGGGGGGAAGAAACGCCAACTAATTTCTTAGAAATGTGTGAGAGTGTGACCTATGTAATGCACTGATTTCTGTAATTTGTCATATGTTTGGGTAGTTTGAAGTTTTTCTAGCCTTATATCCAATGGACATCTAACCATGAAGAAATGAAATGAATCTAGCTAATAGCTACAGTAAGATTCCATGAGTTACTCCTTAAGTTTTTGGGGGGAGGGAGGATCTATACTATTTTTTTAGAAATTTCATTTACAAAATTAATATTTGAGGAGTCAGTGTTGTCAGCTTCTAAAACAATAACCTCAGTGTCCCAAAGAAAACACTGGGTTAAGAAAACTGAAAAGTGGAATTAGGACGGCCTTAAGTAGATACAGAAACCTACTCTTCTCATCTCTCAAAAGAGAATTAGGGAGGAGGATAAAGGGGGGATAAATGTGATGGAAAAAAAAATAAAATAGGATTAGTACATTGATTTTTATTATAATTATAGGTAGATCATTAAGTAGTGTTGTATTGTCAGTTGCTTAAAGAGCAAGGATTTTTTCCAACAGGGTTAAGTGTCAGGATCACCTATAGAACTCAAAAAAATACATAGTTATTGCCCACCCATCCCTGCCTAATTCTGTAGGGTTGGAACTAATTATTGTGCATTTTTTAAATTATAGGTGACATGGGGGATATCTGTAAGTACTGTAAACAGTATCGGCAAAGATTTTAGGTTTATTACAAATTATATCCATAAATGAATTGTGATATATATAGATGAGGAAATCACCCAGGGATCAATTTATACTTGATAGTTGGGGAGAGAGAAAGAATACCAAAATATCTTGACTTACCTGGATATTTCTTAGAGTAAGGATTTAGTCTAATGCTAAGGAAGTGATAATAAGAGACTTTTTCAGTAAGAGTTTAATGCAATCACAAAATTATGGTAAAGCTATTCAGATATTTAAAAGAAGACTCTAGACAGGCAGCCAGATACTAGAATTTTCTGAAAATAATTTTTAGTAAGTCCCTAAATTTGAAAAATTGTTGATTTAATCTTAGTACTCTTTTTTTTTTTTAAGGGGAGAATGATGATTTTTTTTAAATATATTTTATTGATTTTTTTACAGAGAGGAAGGGAGAGGGATAGAGAGTTAGAAACATCGATGAGAAAGAAACATTGATCAGCTGCCTCCTGCACACTCCCTACTGGGGATGTGCCCGCAACCAAGGTACATGCCCTTTGACCGGAATCGAACCTGGGACCCTTGAGTCCGCAGGCCGACGCTCTATCCACTGAGCCAAACCGGTTAGGGCTTAGTACTCTTGATATTTGGGTGCAACATATGTAATATAGTATCTTTTTTAAAAAAAATAGATTTTTATTGCCCTAGCCGGTTTGGTTCAGTGGATAGAGCATGGGTTCACGGACTGAAGGATCTCGAGTTCAATTCCAGTCAAGAGCAGGTACCTTGGCCCTGACCGGTTTGGCTCAGTGGATAGAGCGTTGGCCTGCGGACTCAAGGGTCCAGGGTTCAATTCTGGTCAGGGGCATGTGCCTTGTGTTGCGGGCACATCCCCAGTGGGAGTGTGCAGGAGGCAGTTGATTGATGTTTCTCTCTCATTGATGTTTCTAGCTCTCTATCCCTCTCCCTTCCTCTCTGTAAAAAATCAATAAAATTTATAAAAAAAAAAAAAAAGAGCAGGTACCTTAGTTGCAGGTTCAATCCCTGTCAGGGTGTGTATGGGAGGCAACTAATTGATGTGTCTCTCACATCGATGTTTCTCTGTCTCTCCCCCTCCCTTCCACTATCTCTAAAAATCAATGGGAACATATCCTCGGGTGACAATATGATTTCAGAGAGGGATAGAAATAGAAACATCAATGATGAGAGAATCATTGATTGGCTGCCTCCTACACACTTCTTATTGGGGGTGGAGCTGTAACCTGGGCGTCTGCCCTGAGCGGGAATAAAACTGTGACCTCCTGGTTCATACTCAACCACAGAGCCACAATGGTCAGGTATAGTATCTTTTTTGCTCCAAATTTTACTCCGTTACTAAGTTTGGATCACATTCAAAATCCTGTAGCATTCTTTGATCTATATCTGCTAAAGAATAAAGATAAGAGAACAAGCATTTGAAATGTTTAAAGCAGCCCTAAGATTCACAGTTAGGGTCTGTCTGCTTTGGAGGAAGGAGGTCCTCTTGGAGATGGTAAATGAAGACTGACTTTAGAGTTTTGGAGAATATTAGTGACCTCTGGCTTCCTACTGTTTCAGTTTGAAATCTGTCTTGAATGCCTTGCACAATATCACAGAAATTAGTAACATTCTTTGCCTCGGTGACAATAGTCTCAAGGGTGTGGGAGAGGATTAAACAGAATAATCTATATAAAGCATTTAGCTGAGGGCTTGGGAACAGGTAAGTTTGTGTGTGTGTTTACATTTTTTAGGAAGTAGCCCCAGAGTAGTTAGGATCCCAAGGACAGGATAGGGATGACCTCAGATGTACTCTTACAGCAATTTGTTGATAAGTCAGACTTGCATGACTAAGCTCTTACAAAATACAGTTCCATTTCTTCTTATGAGAGAGAGCAACAACAATTCTTTTCAGCCCTTACCACATAAGGAATATAAAATTCTCCTTACTGAATTGTGTTATGAAGAGATTTTTATAGTACCTAGGGTGGCTGAAATTTTTTAAAAAATTATACAGAAACAGATTTTGCTTGTGTACCTATGTAGCTTGAAAAAGCCCACAGTTGATTTTGTAAACCAGGCCCAATCTTACTTTAGGATCACTGTAATTTGTTCTCTAAAAGAAATGATCTTCTAAATTATGAAAAATGTTAGAATTGTTTCATGTCTTACATAGTTCTAAAGTAATGCTTTTACATTCCAAGCTATGAAATTTGTCTGCTTTTCTGTATCTGTCTTCTAAAATAGGATCAATTTTCTTACTTGTCTCCAAAATGAAATGCCAGCAAGCCAAAGTGATGTAGATTCAACAGTTACATTAGATGGAGAGTTAGAAACATCGATGAGAGAGAAACATCGATCAGCTGCCTCCTGCACATCTCCTACTGGGGATGTGCCCGCAACCCAGGTACATGCCCTTGACCGGAATCGAACCTGGGACCTTTCAGTCCGCAGGCCAACGCTCTATCCACTGAGCCAAACCGGTTTCGGCAGGATCAATTTTCTTACTTGTCTCCAAAATGAAATGCCAGCAACACAAAGTGATGTAGATTCAGCAGTTACATTAAAAATTATTCTAACCTGATCACAGAGTTGAGACAAGTAAGCTTAAAGGAGAAAAAGAAAAACATTTACCAAAAGATACCTTTTCAGGCCTCTCCTTAGATGGAGTTGAATGTTTTCTGAAGTGTACATTTTTATAAGCGGACACAAATGAGCATACCGTACAGGGTTCAGCATTTGGAGTTTCACTCATTCTGTAAACTTTTTAGTATTTCACATTTTAAACATTTTACTTTGAGTTAATATTCAGGAAACGAAAATATATTTTCTAGTGTTGTTTAGTTGACCCACTGTTGTATTTGTAGCAAATTGGCATAATTTTAGCTTCGGGCTTAATGTGCAACTAAAGGTAAATGCAGTAAATATCCCAAAGTCAAGATTTGAAATCTAAATGCCTGTAGTTAATGATTAACCAGAAAAGTCTGCCCTCTATTCTGTGGTTTTTTTTCTTTTTGTAGGTTTCGATGATTGAAAACATTTATTTTTAAGAATTAAGTATATGATCATGAACTTAATCAAGTATAAATATATCCCTGAATTTAATAATAAACTCACTAGGTGATTCCTCTCCACCTAATTTTACTTGAAAACACTAAGGTAAAATAATTTACCAAAGTCAGGCCTCTAATTGTAACCCCCTCTTTTGTGTTCCTAATTCAGTCTTCTTTCCATTGTGCTCAGTACATCTTATTTTTGTTGAAATTTCAAGACAGTTACCAATTTTTTGTTGTTAATCCTCACCCAAGGATATGTTTTCCATTGATTTTTAGAGAGGGGGGGGAGAGAGAGAAACGATGTGAGAGAGACACATTGATTGGTTGCTTCCTGAGGCCAGGGAGCAACCTAAATATATGCCCTTGACAAGGAATCAAACCCTCAACCTTTTGGTGCTCTGACCAGTACTATACACAGACACACTGGCCAGGCAAATGCCAAATATTTTTTAATTTTTTTTTGTACATATATATTCAGTGAGGAATGTAATCCAACCACATGAACAAGTATTGCTTAACCAAGGTGTATCATAGTTTTCTTAGGGAAATGAGCAAGTTATATGATCCATGTCTTTAAGGCATTTGATTAAAAATATTTTTGGATAAGGAACCCTACAGTACTCTTATAGACATTCAAAGTATCAATATTTGGAGAGTGCTATTTAACCAGTTGTAAATCCATTTCATTCTCTTTTTTTTTTTTTTGTATATATATATATATATATATATATATATATATATATAT